GTTTCTGTAGAGCTCAGCAGATACTCGAGCAGCTCTGCTCTCACTCCTCCCTTCGTTGCTGGTGGAGACACTGAGCTGGAAAGGGAGGGGGAGAGAGAGAGAGAGAGAGAGAGAGAGAGAGAGAGGAGGGGTAATGGGACAACTCTAATGTTCTCATGGTCTGCAGTATTTTCTGCTGTTTCTGTAGAGCTCAGCAGATACTCGAGCAGCTCTGCTCTCACTCCTCCCTTCGTTGCTGGTGGAGACACTGAGCTGGAAAGGGAGGGGGAGAGAGAGAGAGGGAGAGGGAGATGTGCAGTGGGCATAAAATGCTGTACCTCACTTCTTTTTTTGCTCTGCTCCAATAAAGCCAAGTACTTAAGTGGATTGAAAGACAATGCAGAGGAAGCAGCGTAATGCAGAGGGCAAAAAAAAAAAAAGGACGGATAAGTGTTTTAGCCTAAGAGATTAATTTTCACACAGGACAATAAAACTAAACCCTGACAAAATGCGTTTTTTTACATATTTTTTTATTTAATAAATTTATTTTATTGGGGACAAATTAAAGAAACTGCTTACATTTGGCATTTTTTAAGCATTTACGGGAAAATGCTTTTTCAATCTGCTGGTGCCCAAAATATGCTCTTATTGTATAAATGACACGTTTCTCCCACAGTTTTCTGCACAGATTACTGTCTATTACAGTAAATGACATGCAGTAAATATCAAAAGCTGAAACTCAACTGGACTTATTAGAATTTACTGCACTTTGTTGCCCAAAAGCATGTTAAAACTGACATATTCAAGTTCAACTATTTTGTTTATCATACTATCATTGGGGTGTATTGTACATGTGTTTGAACCATACTGTCATGACACACAATACACCAGTCTCAAGTGAGTACTGCTTTCATTCAGAGGCAGATTTACATTTTGTTAAACTGCATTTTGTTACCTGCCGACAGAAAACAATCAGCGGAGGATATAAACCACTCGACATCAAACGAAGCRTGAACGTCTGCTTCAGAAGAACAGAGAATCGCAAAGACCTGCCTATTTGATTCAGATCAGCTGCTTCCTGCTCCTGATCTACTGCAGGAACTGAGGAAGCCCAAGCATGCGAGTATGGTGCTACGGCATGCAGTTATGTCATATAATCAGTGTTTTGAAACAGCAGGCCATATACTGGACATCAAGTGTTATTTTCCATACTGGTAATCAGCCCACTGAGAGCCTGGAATGAACATTTCACATTTTATTCAATTTGTCTTAAACTATTATTCAGAGATATATAAAGTACTTGAAAGAATAAGTAAAAGTAAAAATACCTTAACAGAAAAATGACTGGTAAAATTTATTTCACTGATTAAAAAAGTACTTAAGTAAAAGTCATAAAGCTGCTCATAATAATCAGGAAAGTAAAAGTACTTTTACTCTCACTCTACGAAATGAAGTGTTGAATATACTTAACCAAAGTGGTTCAACTAAACTGAGTTGAGTAACTTGAGCAATTTACACTATTTCTTTTGAATAAAATATGTAAAACGTTTTATTGTTACTCAGCTCGGTTTTAGTGGAACGAGTTGGCATAACTTGGTTWAATAGATTCAACACTTCTTTATTTAGATTGCATAAACTACACTTTTCATGATGGGTTCAGTCATATTTATATTCATACCGTGTAACCAAGTGGTAAATTTTAAAGTAAATAAGTAATAAGTAATGTTATGTTTTGAATATAGTGAAAAGTTACGATTAAAAAAATACATGGTACAAAAAAAATGACAAGTGTAATAATGAAGTAAATATGCTTACTTACTATACTGGTATRTAAACTAGTATAAACTTGTATTAATGTGATGTATTCTTCTGATTTCCCACCAGTAAAAGTGAAGTGTAGTCCTCTCATCCAGTGACGGACCAACTCCCCACCACCATCARCTGTAACAAGCAACATTGCAGACATAGTGGCATCTTTGCCAAGAGCTTTCAACTTAAAGGGATCCCAGATTCGTTGTAACATTAGACTTTATATGATAAACATATACTTTAACTGTAAAATAAAGACTGTAAAAATACTGTAGGATGTTCAGTTTTTATAATTTTTAAACTAAAAGTTTAAAAATATATTACACAGACGGGGCCATTTTATTTACATGCAAAGCATTCTGGGTAAATGATGACATCAACTAGGTCATCGGCATGTGGCTGCTAGCGAGCTATATCCACCCTGAAGGTTAATCTTAGACAATATCTGATGATTGGCTCTTTTAAATGAAACCAGAGAGCGTTGACAGAGAGGAGAAGGCAGAAATGACTCAGCCTGTAACTGAAAATATGGATGGAGGACCTCAGTTTAGCTGTTTGTCACACTAGCGCCGAGCTAATACATATAAGGCAATATAGCGTGAGGGCTAGCGCGAAGGCTTACAGGCTAAGCTGCGGTTCTTCTTCCATGAAGCAGCTCTGTTGTCCTCCATCCATATTTTCAGTTACAGGCTGAGTCATTTCTACCTTCTCCTCTCTGTCAACGCTCTCTGGTTTCATTTAAAAGAGYCGATCATCAGATATTGTCCAAGATTATCCTTCAGGGTGGATATAGCTCGCTAGCAGCCTCGCACCAAGGACTAGTTGATGTCATCATTTACCCAGAATGCTTTGTGTGTGAATAAAAAGGCTCCATCCGTGTTAAAATATATTTTTAAAAATTACAAAACTAAACAGCCTACAGTATTTTTAGTCTTTATTTTACAGTTAAAATAAATGTTTTTCAAATAAAGTTTAATGTAACAACTAATTGTGAATCCCTTTAAACCTTCTGTTGGTGGACACCGAGCAAGTAAGATCCTACAGAGGGCACAGACCCAACTATTGAATGAATGAGTAAGACAGACCAACCTCACCATTGAAGCTATAGCAGCCAAAAACCCTGCTTTTTCTGGATYTCAGAAAAAGTAGGTTTAGCTCAACATTTCAAGTCCAAGACCCAGCAATAAAAGAAGTTTACTTTACTGGTAACTCATCAGTCCCTTCGCAATTCTAACAACTCACAGAAGGTTGGACAACTCACTGGAGTACAAGCAAATGCCAGGGAGATGAAGAAGTGGGTGAAGAATTTATTTGACAGAGAGCTCACCCAGTCAGAAACCAAAATCCTGGCCAGGGGACTGAAATTTGCAATCRCACCAAGAAGAATTCCTCTGGTTGAGATGATCACAGCCACAGAATCTGCCATTTGCAACAACAAAATCTCAGAATTTGAAGCAGAAAAACTTAGGAACAAAGTTTCAGCCTGTCTCAGCAATGCCAAACCACCACCTTCTAACATAAGTAGCGAAGAGAGAGACGCTCTCACYACCCTCAGCAAGGACAAGAACATCATCATCCTCCCAACAGACAAAGGAAGGTGCACAGTGATTTTGTACCAGAAAAACATGAGAAGGTTATGAMACTCCTTAGTAACTTGACCACATACGAGCCACTTAAAGAGATCCAGGAAGTGGTTACAAGAAGAAGTTGATAGAATGCCATAAAATTTAGAGCAGGACAAGGCTATTAACCACATTCTGCACCACRGACTSTACCCAGGTGAGGCCACTCCTASTCTGWATGGTTTAMCCAAAATTCACAAACRGGATGTRCCGGTAAGACCTRCTGTTAGCACGATTAACTCTGTCACTTAAAATGTTTCCAAATATCTAGCGTCAGTACTTGGTCCATTAGTTGGCATGTCAGACCATCACATACAGAACACCATGGACTTTGTGAACAAAGTGAAGGATGTCATCATGRAAACGGATGAAACTATGGTCTCCTGTGATGTAACATCGCTCTTTACGTGCGTTCCTGTTGATAAGGCGGTGGAGGTGGTCRGTGTAAGATTGAAATCAGACACCACTCTCAGCAGCAGAACCATTCTTTCCACAGAACAACTGTGCCAACTCCTGAAACTGTGCCTGGAGTCAACCTACTTTGCATTTTAGGACAATACAATAGGACAAAGGCGTTCCTGGACTGTGATGTCTCAGTTTCTGATGGAGGATGGTTGGAAATTGACACGTATCGCAAACCCACCCATACAGACCAGTTTTTGCATTTTGACTCCCATCACCCRCTGGAACACAAGTCATCAGGACTCTGTAACACAGAGCACAGATATTGTTCCCAGAGCAGTTTCTTTCACCCCTTCTCCGCACAAGGCCTGGGCCAAACTTTTTCTCATAGGAGTATGAGTTAAGGATTGTGTGACTGGTCAGAAGTTTGTAGACGAGTTTATTTATGTGGACAGCAATGGTGGCATTTCACTTCAACAACTCCCCTGGTGTGCAAACAGCGTGGATAATTTTGAGGCGCAGCTGTCCAAAGGCAGTCAAAAAGTCGTCCATCTATATGACTCTTTCAGACACATTTAAACAAGTGGTCACAAACTCCTAACAACCACTGTGCAATAGTATCTTGGCTAATTTTTTTTAATTTCTTTCATATTGCAGCATTTGTCCAGTCATTTTAAAGCTAAAGAAATTTAACACAAGTGTAAACACACAGATCCTCATTGTGCTGATTGTCAGCTCAGAGGAGACTTTTCCTCTTGTCCTTACARACTGCATTCTGTCATTGAGAAAGTCCAGAATCCAGCAGGTGCTTCAAATGACAGTCAGTTTTGCAACCAGCTTTCTGGGCTCTGTAGACAGCAGAACTRTTACCAAAGAGCATTTATGTTTGCTAACAAATATATGTTTGTTAACCTAGAGTTCAGAGTTCTAAAACCAAAATAAATTCAAAGACACTGGATAAAAGGTAAGTTTCTTTACCGAATGGGTCCTGAACTGGGGCCAGGAGGATCTGCAGAAGTTTGTAGGTGGTGAGTGTAGGATTTTCATATGCATATATTGATGCAGTCAGGATAAGAGGAAATACTCTTTTTTTTTTCAGGCTTGGAGGAAGGCTGCTCCATACTTGGGACCTGGACCAAGAGGAGACAGTATTCCAGAAGGTGACCCAGTTGGAAAGTGGCAGTTTGGACCAGGGATTGAAGGCAGAGCAGGTAATGTCTTGAGTGCTGGTTCTTGCAGATATGAGCAGATTTATATAAAGTACTCAAAATAATAACTAAGTGAAAGTAAATATACCTTAACAGAAAATGACTTTATTATTTTTTAAGTAAAAGTAAAAGTACTTCTACACATCAAATAAAGGTTAAGTAGGTTCTCGAGATGGGTTCTTTTTTAATGAAACTTTTTGTCTCTCCTCCAAGAGACTTCTTCAGTCTAAGGATTTTTAGGTGAACTCAGCCTTATAAGCACTGCCTCCACATGMTGGACAAACAAATTAACGATAGCTATAAAAATTGTTTGTTCACATACAAAAGAGGACCATCARCCTAATGATCGATGATTGGTGCCCTGGTTATCACSTATTGCACACAGAGGACTGAGCCATACTCGCAATAACAGCACTGTAAGAGAGAGACAGCTGGACATGGAGACTTCAACCCCTGTTTCACATTAAATGGTTTTCCTTCCCAAAAAAGGCTTCCTTTACTCCTCTCTCAAACCAACATTCCTCTCTATCAAGGATGAGGACACCTTCATCCCTGAAAGAGTGACCTGTAGATAAGTGTAAACTGCAGAATCCTGACCTGATGATGTTTTTTTTATGTTGGGCCATCCTTTTGAGCAGCTTTGTATCCTCGATGTATAACTGGTCACAGTCCTCCTGGCACCTAACAGCATATACAAAATTATTCTGTTTGTGCCARGGGACTGGATCTATGGGGTGAACCAGTCTTTGCCGTAATGTGTTTTTGGGGTTTGAAAGCCACTAGGTGTTAAATTTTAAAGATGTAAATATAGTATTCTTAAGGTTTGAATGTAATGAAATAAAAGTAAAAGTTACAAATAAAAACAAAATACTTTGTTCAAATTACAAATCCTCAAAAATTACTTAAGTACTGTAACAGAGCAAGACGTGGTTAGTCCTCTTTTTTTTTTTTGAACTGGGCAGATGTTAACAAATCAGTAATGACTCTGAATACATCCTTTCTCTTTTTACTTTCAGATTTGATCAAGAAAAATGACCTGTGGCTGCAGACAGACTCAGTATGTTACTGGATGTGGAGGATGTCAGGCCATAATTCCATCTGGACCAAACCAAAAAACTACAAATGTTTGTGTTCATTTGATGTAGTTAATAATAAAGTTTGTGCATGTGTTGTTTAAAAATTAATAAAGTTTATATGTATGTAAACTTGGTATTCATTTATGTGGAAAAAGTGTTTTCATACAGCTTTAAAAATTGTTTATGTAAATGAAAAAATGTTGGTGTATGTAAAAAAATTCAGCAATCAAATTAGTGAAAAATGTTCATTTGTTTTAAAACATGTTCATGTGAATTTTCATTTGTGATTAATTGGGAAGATTGGGATGATATTAATATGCTAAATAGATTTCTGTGTGGAATATAACAAGAACAATACAAAATTCTTCATAGGATGTATATTTCACCAAACCACAGACACTGGTTCTGATCTCTCTCCCAAGTGTAAACAGAATTTGGGACTTTGACACATTGCTTCCGGCCGTGTTTGTGGTTGCAMAGGGATTTATTAATTTTGGAAACGTGTATGTGTGAAGGAAAACTAGATTTGCTTTTAAGTTGGTTAATGAGTTTACAAGTGAGTTTTAATATTGTGACGTTTTATTTGTTAACAGTATTTTACACTTTTATTTCATGTTGCTAAAAGCCTATCTAGGAATGGGTATTGCAAACTATCTTTGGATATACTTGGCAAATTGATCCAGTACCTTTTGGTCCGCCAGATAAAAATGTGACTTTGAATGATTAGATGAGACTGTGTTGCATTCTCACTTTGTTGCAAGGAAAAATACCCTAATGCTGGTGCAAAACAGTCTACTGTTAAAGGCTGGCAAAGTACCGTAAGTGTAAAGTAACTATGTGCAGATACTTTGTTACTTTACCTGAGTAGAGTAGAAATTTTGATTATCTTTGCTACTTGAGTAATTATTTTTCAGCTGATTTTTTACTTCTACTTCTACATTTTCACACAACGTACTCCTAAAAATAAGATGTAGAAAGTCGTTACTCCTATTTCATTCCARCATGTCATTGTTCCAAAAAAGTAATAAAATAAAATAAATAAATGTAGTATTTCTTATGAGGATTGGGTATTATCGTAATAAGCCATACACACATGTTTGAATACATATATACAAGTGTGTGTGTGTGTGTGTGTATACTGTATATATTTATACACATATACAAGGGGTGCAACAATACACGTACCTGTATTGAACCGTATCGAACAGTGCTTTAGGTTCAGTACACACTTGTATCGAACAATACAGATTTTTAAAATTTATTTTATCAACTTGTCTTCTGAAGATGCTCTGTGTTGAAGGATCAGTGGATCTGTGTTCGACTACTCCACCTACGCTGCATTTTTGAGTGCAGATCCACTGAGAAACTTGCTGTTTCAGCAACATTTAATTAAAAAAACTGTACTTTTGAGGTTAAACAAATGTTCATAATTAATTTAAATAAATTAGAATTTAAAAGGGGCATGGAAATTTCTCGTTTTGAATCGAAGAACTATTGAACCGTGGGACTAAAGCATTTAACCGAACTGAATCCTGAATTTTCTGTATCGTTGCACCCCTAATACACACACACACACACACACACACGTGTGTGTGTGTGTGTTTGTATAAACCTATAGTGCATCCCCAAGTTTTCAACATTAACATTTTATATAACATTGTAGCCAATATGGCCTTTAGAAAAAGTTTTTTTTTTTTTTTGGGGGGGGGTGTGTCACCTCCAAATAAATGTCATTTTGGAAATTCTAATCGCTCATTTCTAATTTTAATACATGAGTGTAGCTACATATATACGATCAGAAATTTACATTTGATACTTACGTTCAGTAAATGTCAGATAGGCTACTTTAGGACTTTTACTCAAGTAATATTCTTAGTAGTAATAGACTTTAACTTTTACCACAGTAGCCTAATTTCAATGTAGGATACTTGTACTTTCACTCAAGTATTACTACTTTGAGGTAGGCTGGGGCTTACTTTATGCAAGACTGGGTTCAACAAGACTTGGTACCATTAGAATATTTAACATRCATTTTACATTCTAAGACATTTAAAGTGTGAGAACCATATTTGGAGTATATCAAACCTGAAATCTCAGTTATTCAGTGATTTGCATTTATGTACCTACATTATGTTTTGCTTTATTTTATTACAATAT